TTACCAACTTCTAGTAATCCGATCCACTTCAAATTTGGCATGCGTTTATAGTTTCGGTGACAATACAATTATATGGTATTATGAAGTTAACAACTCCATAATACCATATAATTGTATTGTCACCGAAACTATAAACGCATGCCACATATATGTGTGTTCGATATCGTTGAGTATTACAAAACTTTTATCTGATTTTAAAAATCTTAAAATCTCTTTCCTTTTTGAGGGGAGGGAGGTCTTAATAAGCGTTCATATCATATAAATTGTATAATGTAATAAATTGATGAGTTTAATTTAATTTAAGTTTTATTTTCTTCTTTTTAGTACATTTGAATAAAAGCTTGTTTTTAAAAATGTTTTTTTACTATTAATTTATTTATCTTTCGTCAGGTACTTCTGCCATGAGTAATCATTTAAAATCAAAACATCAAGAGAAGTTTAATTTGCTGAACAAAGGCAAAGACAAAGACGTACCTACGCTGCTTGTGGAGCCTGCCATTCCTGTTTCTAGTACAAGAAGTTCGTCTTCGACATCGATGGAAAAGCAGCTAAATTTGTCAGAATCATTTGAAAGAAAACTGCTTTGGGGCGTTAGTGACCCAAAGGCGAAAAAATATCATTATTTAATTGCAGAAATGATTGCACTAGATAATGAGCCGCTTTGCATCGTAGAAAGGGTTGGATTCAAAAGACTCCTTCAACAAGCTTTACCTCGCTACGAATTGCCAAGCCGCACTTATATGACCCAAAAAATTGTTCCAGATATCTATAACAGAATTTTTGAAAAAATCAAAACAAGCATTTCAAACGCTGTTGCAGTTTCTGTCACTTCTGATATATGGACGTGTGTGCATAATAACTCCAGCTTTCACAGCTCATTGGTTGTCTCCAGAATTCCAACTTCAACAAGGAGTTCTTGCTATGAAACCTTTTTCAGGATCTCACACAGGAGAAAACATAGCAAATGAACTTAATGCTATCGCAGCTCGCTGGGATATTCAGCAAAGCCAAATACATGTACTTATTCATGATTAATGTGAACAATCAACAGAACCATGTGTTCTTCTGTACTAATTTTAAAAGCCGTGTTACAAGATGAAACAAAAGAGTCTAAGGTTAATTCTGTGGCTTGGTCGAAGAAGGGCCTAAGTGCAAAAAAATAGTTCTTAGTTAATTCCAATTAAAACTTAATTTTTCAAACGATTGTGATTTAATTAATTATAGTCGTAAACTATTGAAACTTGGAATGTGTTGGATAAAATTTATTTTTTTCATAGCAAAAAAGTTCTTTGTGGTAGATTATAAAATTAAAAAGTTTCATATGCCCCTAGTGTAATTATTTGACGACAGATAGGTCCAAACTTTAGGGCATTTTAATTGCACATTGGCCTCAAATTATGTTACTTTAGCCCTTACTTAAAATTTAGTTGCACTGAGGCCCTTTTTTAACATAATCATCTTTGTTTAAAAAGTAAATAAGAATTAACATTAAAAAATATATTAAAATATTTTTTAAATTTGCAGAAAATATGGATTTTTCATAACATTAAAACACCTACATAATACAAAAACATTAGCTTTATTAGAATAAACTATTAATCAACTATACATAACCTACACTTTTATTGTTTTAATCTTTCATAATTAAGTAGATATTACAGCTCAGGTTCCAGATTTTTAACCGGAATTATTATTTTTTACAATGTTTTAAAAATCTAAAACCTATCCTCCATGACTGTTACTCTTTCTAGGTTAACCTATATGTTTATTTGAGGTAATAAAAGTATACTAAAAATATCAGTTCAATTAAACACATCCAAAGCAATCAAATTAAATATAAAATATTATTAAAAATTAAAAGAAATAATTTTTATAACCATTTATGTAGGTGTTACAAAAATTGATTCTATCCTCCGTGAATTTTTTTCTTTAAATTTTAAATTATAAATTTAAATTATAGATGCATGCGATTCCTGAAGGTCAGTTAGAATTTATATGGAGTGTTGCTGTTTTATAATTCAAAAGTTTAAGTTCATTAATTTGCTATTTAAAAACATATCCACCGTGAAGTGTTATATCTCAGTAAGTAGATTTTTTGTATAAATATTTTATGTATGAAGAATTGTATTTTTAAAAAATATTAAGGTATCAAAAGATAAAATTACTTATTTCAAATATACAAAGTGATGTTTAAAAAAAACATACGAAATCCTAACCTCCGTGAAGCTCTAATATTCAAAATGTATTATTTCTTAAAACTCTTGCATTAGTGCAAAACCACTTATGTTATGTTATTACTAGACCTGGTGGCTTCCCAAAAAAAAAATAAAAAATAATCATTTTCACTTGGGGGAAATCTCAATACACAAAAAAAAGTTTAAATATATTTTAAATTATTATAAAACAATCTACTATTTGGCTGTTTTTATACAAACTTATGATATTGTTCAATCGGGTTTTCCTAAGTGACACTTAAGCCCATTTCCATATTAAATTTTGAATGTTAAAAACGGCATAAAATTACATAGGTCCAATATTTAAGGGCTTATAAGTCACTTGTACCATTTTTAGTATCAAAATACGTTTACAGAAATAACTAAGTCCACAAAATGAGGGCCTATCATGAATGTTGCTCCTCTTTCCTGAACCATAATTTCAATTGGGCCCTTATTATATATATTTTTTCGGTTATTTTTGAAAATAATGGAATGAAACCTTTTTCATATGAAAGATCGGGTTTAGATAGGTAAGATAAGCCATATAACTTAATTTCGGTAAAAATGCACTTAGGCCCTTTTTCGACCAAGCTACATAATTGATCTCCGTCATATTCCGGAATCAGCGCAAATATTTCAGTTAATTTATATACTGGGAAATTTTCCTCAAAAATAACATTTTCATTTTCAGCCAAATTCAATAGCACCAATAAAAATAATAAGTTTTTATATCGTTATTAAAATTATATACTTAATAGATAAAAATAAAAGCTTTGTCTAACAATAAATTGGATTTCCTCTGATCAGGACTTCTGTCTTCACTTTTCTTAAATACGAGGTAGATTTTTTTTTCTTAAAAACTTATTTTTCTTTGTCAATTTTTCCTTTAGGGGCTGCTCTTTCTTTGGTTTTCTTTTTTCTATCCTACCGTCTGCGCCAATTTTGTTATATCGTTGATATGAAGTTTGCCTTTTTAAAAAGGTTATTAGTTACTAAGCGAACTTTGTTGATCACTGGATATAACAAGGGTTAAATGTTTAACTTATTCTTCACAAAATAGTACCATGAGTATTGAAACACTATTGTATTATATCAATATATTAAATAAAACGCGCATGATGCAGATTGAGTACACAGACTGTCTGCGATTTAGGTATCCGGCCAGTGGAAGTGACGCTATTTTTGTGGTATTTCGTGTTAGATTATCTGTGGTTTGTATTGTGTTAGGTTTGTATTGTGTTGGGTGTGAATTTTAAATTTTTTATTATAACTGTATTTTATTATACGTATCCGACATATATTATATCGCAATGGCCACGTGCAATAAGCTACTTAGTGGCCGGTACAGGTTGGATTTCAGGCGAAGTTGGAATAAAAATGACCAAAAAACTAAAGGATCACAAAAAGTGTGATAGTTTAGTACACAGACAAAATAGACTTGCCCTGTTCAGTATCGCTAACATGAAACCAGCGTGCCATTAATCGGGGAAGGGGGGCAAGGGAATGTATACATTATATTATATATTATATAAGAGAAGATATGTATTCTGCCAGGCCCGTATTAAATAATTTCGTACGAGCGGTATCTATTTTAAAATATTCCTAGTGGATTATCAAAGAAATTCATCTAGTTTTACGCTCCAGAAAGAACGAAGTACGGCTCTGTGCACAGGAGAGAACAACACAATATCTGTGTGCGCACGCAAGGTATTGACATGCAAAATTAATAAAATCGCTTAAAATTTATCTCGTAATTACTACTTACTGGAAAAAGGAAATTGGTTGAAATTGGCTGGAACTAGTTTCACTACGACTAGGACACACTTTGACAACACATTTACCCATAATGTTCAAAGAATTTTACATAAATAATATATCCTCACAGGTCAACTGCTCAAATATGAATGATGCGATCTGGAAAACAGGCACCCGTTCAGGCACCCGCCCGGCAGTATCATTTTCTCCCTAAGGCAAGTCTATTTTGTCTGTGGTTTAGTAGTAAAACTTCTCTCACTTTAATAATTGTACATTTTATTTATGGTTTAACAAATGATTAAACAAACAAAAGCCTGGCAAGATTTGTATATACCAAAAATTGCAAATATCTAAAAAAATTACCTTGATGTTGAAAATTAAAATTTCAAAATTGTTTAACAAATCCAAAAACTTTTTTTATCATAGAACTTAGTCTTAGCACGATATCGAGGTCTTTAGTTAGTCATATTTGTTTATCTAACAAAAATGGCCTTATACTGTAATTTTTCGCAACAAGCGATTGAAAATTTACACCTTTAAAATTTGAATCCCGTTTAACTGGTTTTCATGATGAAAGCAAAATTTAATCTGGGTTAAACTTTAACTGTGGTTCACGGATTTTTTTCAAAAAAAATGCGTAATAACCTAAAATTTGTTTTTGGAGAAAACTTAGTCACCCACCTGTACCACCTTTGCCCCTTTAAGCAACTTTATTTTAAAGGTCTTTCAAATCCCTACATTTTGGCATATTAGTTTTACAACCGTCTTTGAGATATTTGAGAAAAACTATTTTTTAATTTATTTTAATCACAAAATATTTAAGATATTTAATTTCTCGACAACAAACCAACCAACTTTAAAAGAAGGGAAATGAGGTATTACCTAATACCCCTTTCTACTTAAGATTTGTAAATGGGTAGCTCCTGGGCATAAGGGGGAAAAGTGAGTGACTCAATTTTTGCACAGCCTTGTTTCCCTCAACAACAATGTTTAGGTATTTGCTTCACATTGTAATTTTTGGTGTGTGTGATGATAATTTTCAATTTGAGCAGGACAGAGTCTGCAATCGAAAATAGTTTAAAAGATTCATACACAGAAACAAGAGAAAATAATTTTCACACTGAAACAAATAGTGACAGTAATAAAAATTCTAGTTTAGAAGAAAACAGTGCGGATTTGTTTAAATCAACTTCTTTTAAAGACCTATTAGATACACTGCAACAGAATATAACTACAGAAAACTTAACAAAAATGTATGCAGGCCAGATATATTTAGCTGCTGTATCCGTGCTCTACAAAGAGCATCATTTTTAGCGCATAACATTGCGCTGATTGTGACAATACTTCAGAAGGTGCTATAGATGCAGGTGGCCCCTTAAGAGAAATGTTCCGCCTTGTATATAATTATTTTAGAACTTCATCCCTGTTCACAGGCCCATGTACCAATAAATAATAATAAATAAAGCATTAATAAAGAAATCTTAGAGAACAATCACTATTACATAGCTGGACAGCTTACGGCCTTAGGAATAGTACATTGTGGCTTTGGTCTACGATGTTTTTCACAACTGCTTTTCTCATTGTTGGTAGAAAGCCCTGAAAACATCCATCCCACCTTGGATGATCTTACAGAACAAGACATAAAAAATGAAATTTGCATGGCTATGGATGCTTGCGACTTGCAAGCTCTCCGAAATATTGTCTATGAAGGCACCTTCATCCGTTTAGCTGGTTGGGAACAAATTAGTGTCTTAGAAAAAAAGGATATAATGATAAAATGTAGGAGTATTTACATATACTGTTCAACAAATTATTAATTAGCATTAGCAAAGGTGCATTAACTGTTCTACTTAATCGAACGCTAATTTTAATGCTGACTATAAAAAATACATCAATACAAGCGACTAAAATTCAATAATCTATGTGGCCTGATCCACGTCAACCATTATAGTCAGCAATAAAATGGTATAAAAAGGAAACCATGCATTATCATCAGTCAATAAACTGCAAAGTTAATTGTTACTTGGTCATTTTATTTCTTCGTACTATACCCAAGCTATTCTACCACCGAGACGTGAGGCTGCGTCTCAATAGTACTGAAGAAATTTACATCCCTACAAAATCTTGTTGGGCTTAAACCCTGAGCTCAGCAGTTGGTCCTTCGAACTGGACAAACTGCCAAATCGCCAATTGGAAGAAGCAATCCCGGAGTACAAGATCAATTGTATACGAATTCCCGAAACCAGGAAGCCCTACCGACTCCCACCAACCATACGAGTTAGTGGAGATCCCCGGGTACAAAGGTGCAACGAATACCGGCTTCTCCAATTATTTGGGCCTTGCTGAGAAGAATTCTATTAGCTAGGATCCATCTCTAGTTGCCATCATGAGTAAGATCGAAAAGGCAACTAGAAAACAGTACGAGCTAGCAAAAACTGTTAAAAGGTTGTTAGTAGTAGAGACACTATGTATGTTCTACACCGGAAGTGACCCAGACGCTACGTGACGTAGGCGGTTCTCGATGGTGGCGCCCCCCCAGGTGGGGTGGTGGGGGTTGATCATATTAGCTATTGGTGGGCAGCCATTTGGGCAACGCCCTCAACTGATAAGCGTAAGTGAGCCTATTGGTGGGTTGGCGGATGGCGGCTGGCGGATGGCGGCCATGTTTGATAGATATTAGCTATTGGTGTTGTGGTTTAAAGTGGGCGGGGCTTAGGTGTTTAGTTGGCATTACTGGAGATGCAAAAGATAAGCGATATGCATATTGGTTGTTTGTGGTTAGCGTATTAGTTTGGTATTACTGGAGATGCAAAAGATAAGCGATATGCATTTGCTGCAGTGGTTTGATATCCGGGGGAGATAAGGATTTATTATTATTTTGTTGTAAATTTTATTTTTGACGCCATTTTAGACGATCAGTCTCCCGTCCGACCTTATAATAACAACATTTTAAACAGGAGAACATATAATATGGTGGGTAAAATGATTAGTGTAAAGGAAATTGAAAAGGCAATCCAAAATATTGATAAATTTTTGGAAGAATGTAGTAAAAAAAAGAATAAAGAAAAATTTGAAAATAAATATCCTACTCGACAGGAAATATATCGAGAATTTTTGGAAAAGGAAAAAATTAAAAAATGGATCAGTCAAAAAGAATTTTTGGAGCAACATCTTAATGCTAATGTTGTAAAAACCCAATATGGTAAACATTTTGAGTCGTGCCCCTGGTCAAATTCAGATGAAGGTCCTGATACATGCCCATGCTGTATGGTTTCAATTTATACGAAAGAAGCTAACGAGGTGTTAAATAAGTTGCCAAAAATAACATGCTGTTGTAAAATTAATTGAATAAACTTTAATATATATTCCTTAACAAAACTATTTGAGTTCAGTAGTACCTAAAATGCGTTGCGTTCAACAACCCGAAAAACTACCTATAAATAATTTAGATTTATTTGAAACCAGTTCTGATGCTAGTAAACATGGTAATTTACTACCAAATTCCTTTAGAGCAATTTTTTGTGGTCCTAGTGGGTGTGGTAAAACAAATGCTTTATTAAGTTTAATATTTAATCCTAATGGAGCTAAATTTGAAAATATTTACGTTTATTCAAAATCTCTTTTCCAACCAAAATATCAATTATTACAAAATGTTTTAAGCAAAGTAAAAGGTGTGGGGTATTTTTCATATAAAGATAATGATGAAATAATTGAACCTATGGAAGCTCGAAACAATTCAATTTTCATATTTGATGATGTAGCTTGTGATAAACAAAATAAAATACGCGAATACTATTCAATGGGTAGACATAAAAACATAGACGCTGCATACTTATGTCAAACATATTCAAAAATACCAAAACAATTAATACGTGATAATTGTAATATTATTGTGCTATTTAGACAGGATGATATGAATTTAAAACATGTATTTGATGAACATGTCTCACCTGATATGCCTTATAATCAGTTTAAGAAAATATGCTCAGAATGTTGGAATGAAAATTATGGTTGTTTAGCTATTATAAAAGATTTTCGTTTAAACAATGGACGTTATCGAAAGGGATTTGATAAATATATAAATATGTAGCTAATATTTTTTTTTGAGTTGAGTAACAGTAATAGACTTTAAGCTGTTATTAATATTTTTTGCTAAGTAACCTTATAATCTTGGTAGAACCGCTAAAAATACTGTCACAAAAACCGATAGAAAAACTGTAGAAACTGCTATAAATACTGCAAAACTGTCGCAAGAACTGATAAAAAAACTGCAAAACTATTACAAAAACCGATAGAAAAACTACAAAAACCGATAGAAAAACTGCAAAAACTGCTAGAAAAACTGCAAAACTGTCACAAAAACCGATAGAAAAACTGCAAAAACTGCAAAACTGTCACAAAAACCGATAGAAAAACTGCAAAAACTGCTAGAAAAACTGCAAAACTGTCACAAAAACTGCTAGAAAAACTGCAAAACTGCTGTAAATACTGCAAAACTATCGCAAAAACCGATAGAAAAACTGTAAAAACTGCTATAAAAACTGTAAAACTGTCACAAAAACTACAGGCTGTTATAAAAGACTCCCGTTTAAACAATGGGTGTTATCGTTTGATAAAAATATAAATATGTAAAACAACTATATTTAGTATCATTAGTAATCATGGCACCAACCACTGTCAATGTAACTGAAAAAATTAATGAACTCTCTCGAAATATTAGAAAAAAATATTTAGCTCTTAAATTGGGAAAAGCTGAAAATGATGCTACATTAGATAAAATTTTTAGACCAATCATAAAGCCTCTTGAAAAAATGGCATATGATACGGATTTTGTGAAAAAAGAAGCTGAAGAAGAAGATTTATTACAGCCAGCAAAAAAAATTAAAATACAATCTCCTATAAAATATAAAGCTATTGATAAAATACTTGAAGCATCCCCCAGAAAAGGTATTCAAGATAAATCATTAAATATCTCAAGCATACGTTTTCCTGAAAATGACACCACTAATGAAAATAATCCAAATGAAAAAGAAGCTGAAGAAGAAGATTTATTACAGCCAGCAAAAAAAATTAAAAAACAATCTCCTATAAAATATAAAGCTATTGATAAAATACTTGAAGCATCCCCCAGAAAAGGTATTCAAGATAAATCATTAAATATCTCAAGCATACGTTTTCCTGAAAATGACACCACTAATGAAAATAATCCAAATGATTTTTATAAAAGCGAATATAATCCCAATAAAACATACCACCCCACATTTTCTGGAAATGAAACTATTTATGAAGATGATACAAATGATTTTTATGATAATGACTTAAGCTTAAGTAGAACACTCGACAACGAATCAATCATGGAAACAATTCCGGAAAATTCTATAGCAGAACATTTGGATTTTTTCAATGAATTACCTAGAAATTTTGTTGAAGGACATATGAGAGATACTAGCAATGAATATGATCATACTTATATTCACCACGATTTGGATACAGGCAAGATCAAATTTGGGGATTCAATTGTGGAGTTTAAAGGTCCTGATTTTATTGTAAATAATAATTTATTCAAGGGGTCCCCAGGACTGTACGAATTAATGTTTAAACAAAATCCTAAGAATTACATGACATCAGATTTTAAAACATTTGGTGAACTTGTTGTGCTTACAAACGCGCATAAAAGAAATTTTGATCCCAACGAACAAACCATGGGGCATAGAGGGCTCAAATATAAAAACATTATTAAGCCTGTTTTAGAGCAAATAAAACAGCAAGATATAGATAAACAAAAAGAACATAGTCGTAAACTTAGAGTTGGTAAAGAACATACTGAAAAAATTGGGTTTGGCAGAGCATCGCCCACCTTGGTAACATACAATGAAAAACCAATAGAGTACATTTATTGGGATGACGTAAATGAATTGGTTGAAAGATTAAAGTTATTAGTAGCCTCCAAGCATGCTGGCAACACATCAAATGATAATGAAATTACAGCAATTATTAATGAACTAAAAGAAGCAGGTGTTATATATTAAAACAAATAAAGTTTTACCAGCAGTTTAACAATGCCTCTTAACAAGTTTGGTCAATCTCTCGGTCAATCTAATCAAAATTCGTTATTATCAAAATTACAGTATGGTAACAATGTACTAAAATATACTCCCGATGGTAATATTGACGCAGAAAACCTAAAAATATGTAATGTGAAATCACCAACTTTAAATGCAGATGCTACTAATATGGGTTATGTTGATTAAATATATGCAAATTTTTATGATGATACAATAAAATCACTTAGTAAATTTGAACAAGAGACATTAAAAGCACTCGAGCAATCGGATGCAAAAATAAAAAAGGAAATTGAAAACCTTGATAGTAAAAAACAAGATAAATTAATAATTAATTTAAATAAAGAACTAGCTATTTTAACGCAAAATACCGATGAGTTAAAAGAGCAAATTAAAGAACTTAATAAACAAAAAACAATAATTTTCAATGATTTGAATTCTTTAAAGAATATTTCAAGATCGCATGTAAATGCACGTAATGACTTGGATAGGCAAATTAAATTCCTTCAACAGACTCAAGATGTGAACTTAAAGGATATAAAACAGCAAAATGAACAAAACATTATAGATTTTAAAAAGCAAATCAAAGATCTTAATACAGCTTTAAAGTCTCTGGATACAAACGTGAAAAATGGACAAAACATTATAGATTTATTATTTGAGGACGTCAAAAAAAACAAATCCGCAATCAATGATATGGAGAAAAATATAATAAAA